GTCTTTATAAGAGATCAGTGGTTGCACTACACCAAATACGCGCCCATAGAAAACAGTGCAAAATCAGTTCAGTTTCCCCGAAGATACTCCACAAAGAGTAGTAAAACTATGCACCCAGCTCAGAACACCTCTATCCCAAATAGGTCCGCAATTTTGGACTTTTTGTGAAAGAAATACCCCGAAAAGGAAACGATCAGTCCCAAATTTGGGATTCATAGAAACCTATGATCCCTCCTGGTTATGACATGTCTTATTTGTAAAAGCCCGCCGGGATCATAAAATATTAAAGAGCTCTCACCCAGGAATCCAACAATTTGGTGGAATGCAACCACATGGCCTACAAGATTTGATCATGAAAAATGAACACTGAACTTAACTCTGTCTCTAAGGGAGCAACCTAATTCTACCAGTAATTAGGCGACGGCGAGAGCACAATGCAATGGTACGACGCGACGGCGAGACGCAAAGGGGCGACAACACGACGGGTTGATGGCATGACGCCATGGCACGACGCGACGGCAATACAGCAGGACACGACGCGACGGGCACGGCACGACAGAGCATTTAAAGGTGAGAGTGTTATTTTCGTGAATATTTTGTGTGTTCTTTTTTTTTTTGTCCAGTGGTTAAGACATCTGTATTAGTAAGCAGGGGGTTGTGGATTCGAGTCTCACCCGAGTAAGCTTTTGATTTTTTTTTTTCGCAAGCTCTCGGAAAAGCACTGAACATAAAGTGCTTATTAATATACGTTGGGTAAGGGCAAAACCCGCTATATCAACAAACTCATGTTACCATTTATGGAAAATAAATTAATATACCCCCAAATAAAGGGAAAGAAATCCCCTCCCTTACATATATGACCTTGTATTATAAATTATAAATACTATAAATGCTCGTCCTATCTGTCTTCAATTACACATGTATTATTGTGTGTGAGAGTCCTTCGGGTGCCCTCCTCAATGAACATGAGCCACTGGCCCATTTTTCCAGGCGGCCGTTACATTCAAAATGCGACCAAGCTTGCGTCCGACGTATCTACAGCGTGAGCATCCGGACGTAATTCACACGGTCGCACTTTCCGGGCCAACTTCCCGGATCGTTACCCCGGTGAATGCGCCATCGGACGCGGACCCAACCCTGAAGTCTCCGTCACAGCCTGCCAGAGCTACGCTGGCTACCATCGGTCTGCCGAGGCCACAGGGAAGTGAGTCCACGCTTTACCTGGTGATCTCTGATGACCGCTACAAGTCTAAATCTACCGGCATTCGAGACTACGTTACCAGGCACCAAGACAGGAACAAACAAATAACGTTTTCCAGGCATTCTTCCTATCGCCAGTTCTGTCACGGTAAACTTGTCATCATGACGTAGACTTACTGCTGAGTCTCTCCAGTCCGCATCCCCAGACATTCGAACCTTACGTTCTTCAAGCCGACGGGATTTTTATACGCCCGTTGGCACCCGTAATCTGGGGTTTTCCCGAAGGGGCCCTGTGGGAGAAATTGTGCGAATCTAGTGTTTTCCACTGCGTCCCACGAGGTATATAATCCTGTGATCAGCAGAACGACCATTTTGTGGCCCCCGCTTACATGGCCCCACGTGAGCACAGATTCTGCCGTGCGGCACTGCCATAATGCACACTATCCAAACACGTGTTCACTTCTAAGTGGGCGTGGACTGTTACGAGGTCTGTCAAAAGTGGGGCTGCTGTGAGTCACCTCTTTTGTTGCGACAAATTCGCAGACTTTCTCTTCAATATTAACGCTCAGCAGCATGATCGAAACCAAGAGAGAATTCTGTCAGACTTTGTTCGTTTCTGGAATGAATGCGTTGTTAGTGCTTATAGCTTGGTTTCGGACATCGAATTGTTTTTTTTTTTTGTCGGCGGAGATTTCCCTTGAGCGGAAATGACTAGCAATTTCGTCCAGTCAAGGTTAACACGCACATTTCTTCCCGTTATCGAGGTAAACTCTATTGATGGGAAAGGAGAGTCCTCCTTGCTGCCAAGACCTCACTACAGTCATGCTAGAGACTCTGAATGATAATGCCATCTCTGTCTTTGAGTATGTCTTGTGGCTTTTATGCCTCTTTTTTTTTTTTTACACTGCCAACCAAAGCCACATTCGTGGAAAGGACAGGGGACCATGCAGTAGACCTGCAAACGATCCACATTCTTACGAATCTTACACAAAATTTTGCAGCCTGAAACGTCTAAACTTAACATACCTTTATGCAAGTTGTACCTTGACTCCTTACTTTCAATCATCTGATCATATCAAGAATTGAAGCTGACACATACAGCCTCGTTTTCAAAGGCGGAAGTGCGCAGATCGACGCTAAAAGCGTCGTATTGGGATCCCTCTATCATCCAAGGATGGTCCTAGAAGAAATTTATGATGATGATGTCGTCACGTGATTTCTTTTTGAATTTTGAATATTTAAATTTTTCCCCTTGACTTTGTACACGTTTTCAAGCCACAATTTTAAAACCTTCGCAATGTTTGATTGCTATCCAAGTGATAGCCAACAAAGACCCTCACGCAAAAATTGTTCTTAAAAATGACGTCATTATGACGTCATCATGTGATTTAGTGTCGAATTTTCAACATTTATTTCAGCCCGTTGACTTTGTACACGTTTTCAAGCCAGCATTTGGGCTAGTTTGAAAGGTTTGATCAACTTCAAAAATACAGACATGAAAGACCCTGATGAAAGAATTTCGCTAGATGTATGATGTTTTGATGACGTCATCACAAAATTTTAAATTGATTTTTTGATATTTAACCCTCCCCATAGGTTTTGTACACGTTTTTCAATAGCCTGTCCTCGGAACTTCGGTAAATCTGAATTATTTCATTCAATGTACACTTGAATTCCCTAATGAAGAGAGGTTCCCAAAAAGAATTGTCAAAATAACTTCATCAGGGGTCATGTGACATGAGATTAAAGCTGCAGTTTTCCCCATAGGTTTTGTACATGTTTTTCTGCTATGCAATATTATCGACCTTAATGAGAGTAGTCCTGAACTTCGGCCAAGAATAGCTATGACAGCGAAACAACAATCATATTTTTTCATCTTCGTTTGATTACATGTATACCCAAGAGTCTGAATATCAAATAATATTTCAGAATTTTCTTTCAGTTAAAAGCAAATCACATGGCATCATAAAAGAGCAGCTTTTTGCATAGGTATTTTCAGTCCATTGACTTTGTACACATTTTCAAGCCATTATTTTGAAACCTTTGCAATGTTTGATCGCTATGAAAGTGATATCGAACAAAGACCCTTATGCAAGATTTCTTCAAAAGACATGATGTTATGATGATATCGTCATGTGATTTACTACTGATTTTTCAATATTTATTTCAGCCCATTGACTTTGTACACATTTTCAAGCCACCATTTAGGCAATGTTCAGAGGTTTGATCACCACGAAAGTTACACACAACAAAGACCCCCGTGAAAGAATTTTCCTTAATTTATGACGTCAGGATGACGTCATCACCAAACAGAAACTTCCGAAACAGCTCATTCCTCTAGTTTATTTTTATAATTCCTTGTATAGCCTCACCAAAAAGGGCTCCTAGTTGTGACCATACATTAAATAAAATTTCAAAGATACAATTTCAAAGTTTGCATACAGGGGTAGTAATAGGATGAAATATTTGTATGATGAAATATTTGTAGTTACAACATGTGAAGGACTTAATCTCTTTTATGAGTTGTGGGGTTCTGAAAACCCAGTTTGGTAAAAGTTTCATATATATCGACATCACTAACTTCTCCTTAAAGTGGCCACACAAAAGAGAATGATAAAATGTCCCAAAAGCCGATTTCAGCAGGAAATATATCAAAGCATTCACTTAAAAAAAAATTTGAATTTTAGGGTTTGGGTACAGGGTGCCAAGTGATGTCCATGTATTTAACTTTCCCCCAGTTCTTAACAGAACCACACAACTTACAAAAGAGATAATCCTTTACATGTTTTAACTGCAAACATGTTACCATACGGTAAAATGACAAATTAAGGCTGGCCCTGTGATCCTAGTTTGCCTTATTCACAGTGTAAAACAATGGAACTTATGCTGATGATCCGTGATGTGGTCTCCTGTAGTTAAAATGGCTAAAATTATTCAGCTTCAAAACCAGGTATAACTTTCGTTAGAGTATGATTACCATGATAACTCAAATTCTGAAGTTGGCCCATAGTACAATTATTGATAAGAATGGGGAATGGCCCAGTTTCATATATTCTTTAATGTGTTGGTGTTGCAGCGCACTTTACTTCTGCACCAAGTTCCCAGGCTGCACTGTGCTACAGCTCATAGAAACTACATGTAGACTACTATACCCTGTAACAATTATGATGAGATCTGCAAAAACTCTTCACATGGTGAGTTTTGTCATCTTGGTGCATATCAACTTCAAATTAATCTGGACACTGCCCTGTTTTCAAAATTGTTTAATTTGTGATCCCCGACAACCTACATCCATGTTGTAGACAATATACATGTAGAATCATTAATGGAAAACATCTGAAAACAAGAGCATGTCCACATTAATTGGAAGTTTATATGCACCCAAATAACACAGCTCACCATGTGAAGGATTTTCATAGAATGCATCACAATTGTGCAATTTTGAGCATTCCCTTAATCTTTCTACTGGTAATTATTAAGCATCTCTGTCAGTTTGAGCAGGTCTGGCATGCAACGTTGGTCGTTAGGGACTTTGCCAAAATAGAAATAGAGAAGTAGACAAGAATGTTTTTTCTTTTTTTTTTGGTGCAAGAGGGCAATGTAAAAATGTACAAAGGCCTACATGTACAAATGAAGAAAAAAAAAGTGCACCACTGATAATTAGAATGAGGAAAAACATCTTCGGATGAATAGGGGCTCATTAAAATGGGTCATGCTATTTTGCATCAACATGTGTCAACGAGCATCAATAAGTTATTAAAGCATATGCAAAGATTTTTTTATTTACAATGTTAATATCAAATTCAATGTATTATATCTATCTGAAATGATATTTGAGTGTTGAAATTTGAGTGACAAAGTCGGGCCTGATTGTGCAGTCCAACCGGCCGCCATCTTGTTTTCGCATGGACGGCAGACGAAAGAAAGATGGTGGCCCCCATACATTGCGAACAATTTTTGTTTTCCTGTGAGAATCTGGAAGCGAATTTGGTGTTTCTCTTATACAGTGGCAAGAGTTACAGTCTCTAAAATATAATAAAACCACTTTTACATCTGTAGATGGTATTTTCGAGTTGTTGATGCTTTGTTGAGCTACTTGTGTGTGTTAACACTTGTTGATGCTGAACAGCATGACTGTCTGCTTCTGCTTGGTGGCTCCAAGCAGAAGTCCAATCACTAAGCTTCTGGCTGTCCTGTACAGATGACGCTGTAGGGATCTGGTTGCAACTAAAAAATCATTTGTGAAGTAAACTTGTTGGAACAGCATGTCAAGATCATTCCTGTCAATTTGGGTCTTGAAGGGGCCAAGAGTTGCAGAAGATCTGGTTGTTTACTTCTTTGAGAATTCAAAGTCACTACTCTGTGTGACTTTGAGTGCACTTTGTTTACATGGTGTTGTGACGCTACAGGGTTTTGAAAAGTGCTTTGCTAGGGTCAGGTAGTTGTAGATGAGAAAACCTCTGTTTGCACTTTCTGGAGCGAATCTACCCCTTAATATAAGAAATATCCGGGTTCAATCAAAGTCACAGGGAGTAGTGACTCTGAATTCTTGAAGTATGGCTTGGTTAGGTAGCGAATTCCATTCTGGAATCATCCAGGGGTACAGTGAGTGGATTTTGTTGGCCAGGATACGGTTGTAGGGATGTCAGACAACTCAACTGTTTGCCAATTTGACTTTGGACAACTCGACCATTGAGACAACTCAACCATTAGCCAAGTCATCCGTTAGGACAACTTGACTTTGACAGAGAGACAACTCGACCAGTGAGATCTCTACACAGTCATTTTCTCAGTTCCAGATTGCAAAAATACTTGAATTCCAGTGAAATGTGGTCCCCATCCACCTTGGGTGTTAGAGATACTACCAAGTTAATTTCAATTTTTGAACTTCTAATTCGGACGTACAGGGTCAATGCAAGTGGTGACACTTTTCCTCGTTCTGGATTGGTTTCAGGAAAGTAACCATGCAAGTGGCAAATCCATTTTCAATCATTGTAAAAAGTTTATTTTGTAATGAAAAAATTTTTAATGTAGAGAAAATTGGTTCATAAATAAGAATTCCAGTGAAAAAAAGTCAATCTTGCGTAAATTTTGACTCAACCTTTTCAGTTGCACAGTGCGAGCCATCAATGACACTACCGTGTGACGCACAGTTGATGAACTGATTACGTCACGTACATTTCTGCAATATCCGTATAGTAAGATGAGTTCGCAACATATGTTGCATGCATGCACTTAATGCGTGATCCAAAACTAGGAAACAATATACATTCAGGTTTGGCTCGTTTTAAATAATAAAATACAACATTTAAAGTCATTTTGATTAACTAAGACATTAGATGCAAAAGTTAATATGACTGTTTAGTATGGAAAAAAGTATTTGGGATCACTCATAGTAAGTGTCATATCGCCCTGTAACTATTTGTCAATTTTGTTTCTGCTACCATCATTTTTGACAAACCATTCACCAATGTCAAAGCGCCGATCAGAAATTGGTCAACATTTCTTTTCTAGAAATTTTCTGAGAACAGGTTTTCTTCAACAAGCAGCTTACATTTCACCTTTTGACCAGAACCTGTCTAGAATGTAGAACCGAGGGACAACAAAAAGGATGTAGGTTTTTATTTCAACTGACATCCAGATCTAGGTATATGTGTCTGGGTCAGCGGGGGTGCAAGATCAATTGATTGCACACGAACAAACTTCGTGCGAGAATTTCCCGCATGCAAATTACGCAAACAGCGCTGCTGATTATGATGTCATCGTGCACCACTCCCCTTCGGCCAAGTCCGGTCCGAACTCAGTTCTGTTTAATGATATAAATGAGCTCATTATGCATTGGCTTCTTACATGCGTAGTATAAGTATGATAAAAAGGTAAGATGGCCGCTTTTGGGTGCCAAAAGAAAGCGTCAAAATTGAAGTTTTCGGTGAGTTATGACTGTTCAAACATTTTTTTGTGTGCTACTTTTTCGACTTCAAAGTTCTTGGTGGCTGAAGGTATCCCTCATTTTGCTCCTTAAGTTATTTTTGCTTGCAAAATTAGGTTGAAAATCAAGTGAATTTGTTCTTATATGTTCATTCTTACTCTTTCAAATGGTATAAAATATAAAGGTGGTCGGATTACAAGCACGATGGTTGCAGGCAATATGCATAGACTCAGCCACTTTCGATAAAACTCGACTGCCACGACCAGATGACTGCCAGAATTTGGGAACGAGTCTCATTGTCTCAAGTTTTGATGCATGAAACATGTTAATGCATGTGTATTCTGTACTTAAACATGTTATAAGAGATAGGAATGTGTCACCTTGCTCAAGTTCAGAGACAGATTCTTGTCTCACATGTTTGATAAATTGACTTCCAAGATTTTTGTTCGTTTATGTATTAATTTTGCAGCTGTTCATGTGATTTTGCAGCTGTCTTTTGTTGTCTATTCTTGCCTCCACGGTTGTTGTGTTTGCTACTGGCATTCTGACCTTGGGGTAGCTCCATTCCCATAATCATTTTTTTGAAAGAACATGTACATCTTTGCGCTAGTTTTGTGCTATTAAAAATTCTAAATCAGCTATTCCAAACATTAAGCATCGAACACGTCAAATGAAAGCCCATCCCGGCTCCTTCACTGACATTGGAAACAGCCAACCTTTTTTTCTGTCATTTGCCCTTATTGCATGGGCATGCTCACTACAAACACTGTGTTTGCTTTTCTTGTAAAGATTTGTCCACTTACATGTATGCTATTCTGTAGTGATTCCTTTTGTTGAGACCTTAGTGAGAAAGTTTCCTCTTCATGCAAGGTAAATACCAAATTGACCCCTTCTCCTCATCCCTCACCATGCATGCAAAGGAATAACAAAGTTGCGAAACTCTTGACAAGGTGAAAACGTTAACATTACATGTATGATTTCAACTCTATCAGGTTTTGCCCACAGCTTAAAATAGTAGATAGCACCATGACCCTTGATTGATCCAGAGGCAAGGAGTACTCATTGTACAAATATACATGTGAGTTTATTTTTTGCTTATTTACATTACTTACTCTGATACTATGTTCCACATTGTACGGTAATACTTGGTTGTAAAATAAACCAACATATGTTGATATCCCTAACAATTGTCCTGATTTCTTTCCTTTCAGGTCTCCCATGTGCACAAGTCCATGAGTGAGGAAGACCCCTGTAATGAACCTGCAGGAATATGAAACAGATATGGTGAAAGTTTTTAATTCCAAAGAAACCGAATAAAATAAGTCTGATGTGTTAGCTTCATTGTGGCTATAAACAACGAAATCCTAAATTAACTAAAACTAGCTCTGCTTCATTGCATGCCCCTCAAAAACAGGGTGCTTTGGTCAGATTTTGTTTTCATGGGTGGAGGCCGGGCAATTTTTTGTACTGACTGCAGGGTTTATTAAGTTACAAGCAGATTTGTGCCAGTGGTTCATTTCCATTTGTGTCATTACGAAGCTGGGAAAAAAGCGATGAAATTTGCTTGATCATTGTTAAATATATATCTGTAGTCGACAATTTTGTTAAAGGTAGGGCCATAGACTGGTTTTGTCAAGGGAATGCTGATTGGTAGGCAAAATTATCAAGAAAGATACAATTCAAGTCACCTGTAAAAGTTTCAGCTCTATACAGTTCCTATTTCTTGAGAAAGCAGTAGAAACTGTCGCTGTATTTTCCACAAACATTTTGAGTCCATTCATGATTAGCAAGACAAAAAAGAACTGTGGCTGTAATTGCAATAGCGCCATCTTGGTCATAACGGTTGCCAACTGCATGCTGACCACGATTCTGAATTGATGTTTACAAGCGCCCGAATTCAGTCAGCGTGTAATCCAATACCCTAGGTCAAAACGGCTAGCTAGCCAGCCTGCCACAGCACTATTTATTTAAAAGTTATTATAATGAGTCTGCAGTGGATTGAAGCTCACCGGAACAGCTCTATGGTTGAAATCTGAATACGCCATAGAGTTATGTCACTCTATGGAATGTTCCTCCTGCATATTTTGAGTTATCATAAGCCATTAACTCCTCTTCCAACAATGATAAAAAAAAGGCAGTACACATTAAATCAAACACAAAATAAATATACATGCTTAGAATGACAACGTATCGACTGGCAACAGTTTACCAGAAAAGTTTGTGGGGCAACAGTTACGGGCGAAGCCAGTATTTAAATTCATTTTCAGTTTCGAGTTTGTATAGTTTGAGAGAAATATAACTCCATGGGTGTGAAATTTCTATTAGTACATGTACTGTATTAAGCAGATCTCCATTGTTTTGTTGCACATGTAGCAATCGACTGACCAGATGGGAGGGCTGCATATTTTGCAGGCTAATTTTGTACATATACAAAAGTATACAGTGCAATGTCTACTGACATGTACTGTACATCTGGCATGTGGTGTATGCCCACACATCAGCATGGAGCTATCAGCATCCTCGGACCATCAGCTTACTGTGCTGTGATTGGCTGGCAGTGAAATATCAGTATTCATATATGTCAGTGAGACTTGTTGCAGCCATTTCTGAATGAGCAGAAGTACAAGCTTCACTCTCGGTAGCATCATTTCACTGTAAATTCGTAGCTTGAAAACACTTCACTTCCATTGAAAGAGGGCTTTGTGCCAACTGGTGCAGGGAGTGCAAAGTTAAGGTGTTATGCACAGGCCTTCAAAAATGTTTGGACATAAGCTCATCGAAATATCAGTGCCGCAAAAATGTGCAATTGTCCAAAGAGGTTCTGTATTTCTTTGACAAGACAGTTACAAATCAGCAGAAGTTGGTGTGAATGGAATCATGGCCTGTAGACAGGCTGGCAACAGTCCGCATGAAACTGATCGTAAAAACGGTGTTTCCATGCAGTTGCCAAAAAGGTACCAAGTGCACGGACTCCCGTGGCGTATTCAGCTTATGAAAACGTCTGTGTTTGGATGGGGGTTCAATTAGCCTGCGACATCTTTGCTTTTATTTTTATTTCATGGTGTTTACTTAGGGTTATGGGGTTGACATTTTGATAAATACATTGTAAATATACCAATTACTTTTTTTCTAGTCAAGTCCAACCAGCGAAATTTTATTTTGCTAGTTCCCTTTAGTCAATTTGTGAAACCATAAGTTTGGACACTGCAGTAAAACAGGCATATGTTAGTTTCGTTAAGTTGATGACAATTACTGGTTTGTGGGATAACGATGAAGGATCAGCAACTTTTCACAAAACTGAGATCAAAAAGCCAATAATTATATTGCCGATAGCCAGACATATCATTCTCTTTTTCAAGAAATGTGTGATTCCAAACATAAAAGATATTGAATCGCGACAATAAATATAAATCTTGACTTTCAAGCTATCATTCACTGTCTGATTGAGAAGGGAAGCCGCATTTTTTGGTTATTCATTCAAAGTCTGAATTTTCCATCAGTTCATGAGTACATTACACATATTCTGTATGACTGTTGTTGAAAATCTTAATTCTCGAGGCATTCGTTTGCTGGAAGTCTGAATTTTCAAGGTATTGTTTCAAAAATAGAAACTGGAAACTAAACTATGAACTGAAATCTGAAAATAAAAAAAAAGTGGTGCTCGCAGACTTCTGCAAAGCTCACGTGCATATACTCAAGTGTTGTATAGAAATGAACACTTGTTTTGTATTTTAAGATATCACAGTACTTGCAAGTTCATTATTGTCATCACTCTTGGAGATGAAATGCTGATCCCATTTCTGCATATAAACAATACCTCATGAATGGTTAATTAGGATTTATTATAAAGAGCAGCATACAGTAAGTCCAAGTGAGAGAGATAGCAGTCATTTCCTCATCACTTGATTCCTCATCACTTGAGTCCACTGGCAGTGCTATTGCAACGTAATAATTCTTGAATACTAAAGTCGCCTGCAGGCAACTTTGAGAGATTCAAATTTTTGACGTACTTTTATTGATTTCTAATCAACAGGGACATTTCAGACAAAATAATTTCACAGGGTGATTACTACTATTACCATAATTATACTAGTTATGCTTTCAGGTAAAAATCCAACAAATTTTTAAATTACCAAAGTATGACACTACCTAAAAAAAAAAAGGATGAGGCACAGCACTGTGCAATGCCACAGAGAACTGGCCAACGACGTCCACATATTGTAAGCATATTGCAGCGAGCTAGTGGGGCTGGCGGTCAATAAACCTCGTGTTGTGGTAGGGAATTTTGTGGAAACACACTTGCTTTAAGTACAACAAATACAGCCCAAACTGTATGGTGGACTGGTTGCCACATTTTATGAAGCCCTTTCTCAGCAAGACGCTGTGAGGTGGGAACCAGCATAAGAAGTGCTCAGGTTGCGCCCAAAAAATTAGGGTCAGTCAGGAAACCAGAAGCAGAACTATTTTCCGTGCCTTGCCTGAAATATCACTTCAGACAATTATTTCAGAGTTTATTTTCTTCAATGCCACATTGTAAGACTGTTTATTCTATTAAGACTTTTATTTTCATGAAGAACGAATCAAGTTAAGTCACGTTAAATTTTCATAAAAATTTAGATGTAAATTTTAGGGAGAACCCCAACAAACATGACTCCTGTAAACCAGCCAAGAACTTAGGATTTATGCCTGTGTCCTCTGTGTTAAAAAGGTTTCCAGAATTTGTTCACTATTATCTTCATAAATAAAACTGCTGGTTGACGTATTTGCAAAGAGGTTGTAAAGCTGCTTGACGGGAGCAGATTTTCCTGAAGCTTACTAGTAAATTAAAGGATCCATGAACTGAATTTTTCTTAGAATCACTTTTTGTGTATCTATGTACTCGTCTTCCATGTATGAAGACTTTCTGACGGTGCACTTTTCAAACATTAAAAATTGACTAAGCATTTCTGGACAAGTGAAGGCGCTTTTGCTTTGATGTAAATCCAGGAACACATGGTTCAGGTTGTATGTTTTCATGTTCAAATTGGGAACCCCAAATTTCTTATATGGAAACATTTCTGTGAAAAGGATTTTTGCTGGATTATTGCCATATACTTACACAGCAATAAATTGCCAAAGAAAATCTGCTATAGCAGTAGTTAAAAAATCTAGAAATTTTCTATGCAAAAATCAGTGCAACATTGAGATTCAGTGCCTTGGATGACATCAAAGTTCTGTCATGAATATACAAATGTGCATCAACATAAAACCAAAAAAACTTCAAAATATGGGTTAACCACTTGCTGCTGGGTGGTTTGAAAAAAATGCAGTGCTCATAATTAGGGCTTTTTCAAGATTTTCAGTTTTCAAAATTCTTTAAAAATTCATCATTTTAGTTAATGGACGTTTACACCCACACGAATTACTGTCTGGGGGCAACTCTAGTCTGACAGACAAAATCTATTGACGCCCGAGCGTCAGGCCTGCCCAGGCCTGCAGCCTTTTAAAAAGAGCCCAGATTGTGTGGTGTTATGTAACTTTCTTTTGTTCACGAACCTGCCACAGTGCACTGCTCTTTTCAATAGGGGCCAGATTAGCATGCAGCACGAGCAGCACTGTGTGGATCAGCGCTGCGGTGGTGGAGCGCTTTTGTCCCCGGTGGTAACCATTTAAACTAAGTGCCCCAGGCCGTGTATTTAAAACAAGGCTGGATTATCCCCACTATTGAGAGTGAAAAATGTCAGTAATGCCCAGCAACCTGGTATTTTGTTCCGAGTACGGCCTTTTGTTACAAAGCCCAGTTCCCTTTCTCTGATTTCATAAACTCCAGCCCAGTGTATAAACATGCAATGCCCGAAACTGGAGTCCCTGGCGGCAAGTGGTTAAAATTGCAAAACAAAAATTTAAAATAAGGTTAATTGAAACACGAAGATACAATTTCAAGGGTTTTTAGTAAGATTGATAAAACCATTTCTTTTTCCTGGTTCCTTTAAGTAAAACTTACATGTACATTGGAAACCCGAAAGCTGCTGTCATGTTGGAGTCATGCCTGATTTGTGTTATGTTTGTGTAGATATGAATTTAATATACGCCGTCACCAAAAATCATTGAAATAAATGGTTGAACAATAATATGTAATCACTGGCTCATTATCTCTCCTTCCATTACTTTAACTTCCTGCCTCCTTCCTGCCTCCTTCCTGCTACTTTAACTTCATCAATCTACTTATCGCAAATTAATTCAAATTGAACTCTTTATACAGAAAACTTTAGTTTACTGCATTTCCCCCCGATGACATCGTTTTACAAAAATGAAGCCCAATTTGTAAAAATCCCCATGTCACGGTCATTGCAAAATAGTGAAAATTGATAGTCTGATGACAATATTTTTTTGCACTGCTTTGAAGAATGCTGGTTTTACTTTTTTCATCACAAAACCACAGGACTCTTGCCAGACATACATTTCACTTGTACAAAATTGAGTGATTCCATTTTATTTGTGTATTTGATAGCTGCCAATTAAAGGAAAATAACGTCGTTACAGTGAGGCTACATGTGTACAAAAAATAAAGCAAGGAGTTTTGTTTTTATTGCGAAATGCTTTTTGGCCTGCAGCTTCACTACATCATACATGCAAGTGTGCATGTAATGCGAAATGTACATTATTATTTTTTATTCAGAAATCAATCAACTAGGTAACAATTGTACATATATATAAAGAAAACAGGAGACGGTTAATTCA